GGGGATTCCCCCCCCCCCCCCCCCATGCAGATTTCAAGCCAGGCCCCACTCCAGAGGTTTATTTAGGAGGTCAGGAGAGGGACCCAGGAATTTGCATCTAGCAAATGTCCCCTGATGATTCTGATGCAAATGGGCTAAAGCACTTCTGTTAAAAAACAATGTTATAAGGTATCCCCAGTGCCCCTTCTGATTGGAATCTGCCCAATTTCAAATACTTTGATTGAAATTTCTGTTCTTAATTTTAGATTTATTGAGATACTAGAGACCCTATGCACGAAATTCCTACAAGAGTAGGCCTTTGCAGGCCTGGCTGCCTCGGCCCTCGCAGCCCTGGCTTCATCTGGAAGGTCGTCTAGAAGGACGTCTGGATGGTCGTTCCGCTGTTTGGCCGTTTGGTTGATTTGCATATTATGCTTTTGTTGTTATAGATCGTTGACATAAAACGGTAAGCTATTTAAAGTGTACATCATGATGCTTTGTTGATCTTTCCTGACTGCCCAGAGGAGGGATTAACAGCCTCACTTTAACCCCTTCCCCAACAATTTTTTTGTTAAAAACGTTTCTTTTTCAGACTAATTTTTTTATTTTGGTTCTACATAGTATTTTTGATGCTGGTTATGAAAACAGTTTGTAACTCGTCTTCCTATAAACCATATTTTTTTACCATATTTTCTTAGTATACTCGTCGACGACTGAAAAAGAACATTTTGTGAAAACGAGTATACACGTTTCTGCCAGGGAAGGGGTTAATAATCAAGCAGCCTGAAGCTCACACCCAAGGCCAGGTCAGCAGCCAGGCCTTCCAATGCCCCTCCCTCTCCAAACAGGGAACAGAGGGAGTGTGGGTGGGCTGTGGGGTGGAGGGTGGAGGGTGGGGCTGCTGTCAGGCTGCTCTGTGGCTGGAGCTCAGACACTGACTCTCAAGGAGAAAAAGGGAGGCTTCTGGCCATGCTCCATGGAGGAGGGCTGGACCTGAGAGGCTTCCCTAGGACCCTCAGGGCTGTCCATGTCATCCTTATCCAAGTCACTTTCCTGGGGAGGACAACCAGCTTGGATAAATCCAGAACCTTTGGGGAGAAGAGGGACTGGAAGAATGGCTGGGAAGAGTCATTAAAGCATTCAGTGAGGAGTGAAAATGTGGAGGGGGGTAATAGTGGCTGATGGTGTTGAGCCCTCACTATTTCCAGGCACTTTGCCAAGACTTCATGTGTATCAGTGCATTTCATCCTCACAACAACTCCGAGGCACTCACTCATTCTAAGTCACAGCTTTTCCCCTTGAATTTTCACATCCCTGAAATCGGAATGGATCTTACAATCGATGGCCTGACAGTTTATTTGACAGCATTTAAATTTCTTAATGGTATGTAGTAGTGGTACATTTGTAATCAGTAGTGTCTTAGATTTGATGAATGACACTGAGAATGATTATCATCCCCAGTTGTGAGATTAATAAACACAGTCATTTAATAGGAAAAGATACTGAGGTTAAATAACTTGCCTAGATCATAGAACAAGC